AAGAAAAAAAAAAAAAAAAAAGGAAAAAAGAAAATGTAAACTATAAATTTTATAGCTCATATAAACAATTTATCAAAAAATAATAATAAAAAAATAGAAAAAAAAAATCATTACCCCACCAAAAACTATTTCAATTTCATTTAGAATTTGGTTGAATGAGAATATAAATTTATATTTTGACATTTTCAAAATGAAATAGTTTTAACAAAATGGTTATTACACCCTTATAACCAAAAAACTTATGACAACACATTCTATTTTTATTACTGTTATTTTGTGTAACAGAATTTTCTACTTTAATTTATGGTGGATAATTTGTATTATAATTAAATATAAATATGTTAAAATGTAGAATATGAATAGTGTTTGTTAAATCTTATAAAACATTTTGGATCTATTTGTTTGTCGATTTTTGGATATTGTTTTTTTTTTGTTTTTAATAATTATATGTTAGAAGGGGTTGAAAATAAACGATTAACTTATTTTGATAAGCTGTTATTTGTTACTTGGTTCGATTAACTAGTTTACACTACAAGAAATTATCAATTTTGTAACGAGATTTTTTCGTTCCAAAATTCACTTTTTCTGTTAATAACGATATTAGAGACGGAATTAGAGATGGAATTACGTTAGCTACGTGAACTTTAGGAACGGAATTCCGTTACAAATATATTATTTTTTTGTAGTGAATTTGATTAGTTGAATATATTAGATACTTATAATAAATATTTGATAAAATAGTTATTTGTTATTAGTTATTTATACAAAAAAATTACCATTAAGGATATGTTATATTCTATATTTAAAATATTTAGTTGTATTCTTTAGGTGAATATAATTTTTAAATTTTTTATTATACTAATTATTGAAAATTTGAAAGTATTATTGAAATATTTAATTTTGTTATTTTTAGATATTTCTGTAATAAAATTAATATATTTTTATTGAGAAATATAAAAAAAAAAATATTATTATTAGAAATCATGTGAAAATGTAAAAGAACAAATCCTTTGTATATTATTTTTTATTATGTTAGTTTTTAATCATTTAATTTTTTGAAGTGAATTGATATAATTTTAAGTAAATTTATTCTAATATATTTATTTGTAATAAAAAGTAATGTGATAAGATATATATATATATATATAAACTAATAATATTTTTATTTTGTATTTATTTTGACAGATTAAAATATTTAATAAGTTAAATATTTTACATATAAAAAAAAAAACTAATTTCAATTACTTTAAATAACAGTATCAATTATGATAACACATACTATTTTTATTACGTTTCAAAATGTTACACAAATTATTTTTTTAGAGGATTATGTGCAATATTTTTTAAAATACGATATAGTCTTATACAATTTTTAAGAAATTTTATACAATATTTTCTAAAATACAAAAGAATCTTATCTAATTTTTTAATTATAAAAAAGTATTGTGCAAACGTTTCAAATAGCAAGTGAATTATAAACAATCTTACCCTCAAATAAAAATATAAATATAAATAATAAATATATATATATTGCTAGATTGTATTATATTATAATTTAAATAAAATATAAATATAAATTTTATTTTACAAACATTATATTTATAAAATTAAATACAAAGATACAGATATTATTATTTATAGTAATATGTAAAATTAAAAATAATATATATTTTTAATTATAAATAAATAATTAAATAAACCGAACAAATCCTTCTCAATAGAACTGACAATTGGTAGATTGGTGTATGATTGAATTTCTTAAATGAGGGAATTATCACACACAATTCTAACCCAAATGGTTTATTACCATGTCACCTTTATATTGATCCATATATATAATTTGGTCGAATTTTTTTACTTGAATCCAATTGTTTTGTGTTGAATTCGTATTGAGTTGTCGTATTGTATTAGATTAAAATTATTTTACATATATAATTAATTAATTAATTAAAATTAATATATTTAATCAGATTATTGTATCGGAGTTGAATTGAAGGCCTCAATCTTAATATGATTTGTTTATTATCGTATCAAACTTATGTTTATCAGTATATATAATTAAGTCGAAATTATTGATCCAAATCTAAGTATTTTGTGTGGGATTAGTTTTTGTCAACTCTCTTATCCATTCACCCCCACACTTTCTTTCCTTTCCCGTTCTTCTTCCTTCTTACTCTTCTTTTTACTACGCTCAATCTTTCTTTTCTTTTTTCCTTTTACATCTCCTGATTCTTCTTTTTTTTCATCATTTTCTCTTCTTCTCTCTTTTCCTTCTTCTTATTCCCCTCTTCTTTCTCCTTCTTGTACTTGCGACACTGATGTGGCTGCCCCTAGAACCTGCTCAAGTATTTGGTTTGTTTCTTTTCGTTTTTACCTTATTTTTCTTGCTCTTTTGTTATCTCTTTACTCCAGTGTTTTAATGATCAGGGTGCGTTTCTTTTGATGAGTTTGGAAAAAATTTGATTTAAGTTTGATATAAAAATAATATTTGATGAGATATTTTGTGAGAGAAAAAATGTATTTTTTTCGGAAAACGCAAAGTCCAAATAGTAAAATTTGATAAAATTATGCTAAAGAAACATACTAAGACTAAAATTATTTTTATCACTTTTTTTTTGTTTTAGCTATTTTTTTCTTCAGCCCAGCTGATAGTCTGCCGCCACCGGTCCTTTCGCCGTTTCAGTTGTTTTTGGTTGGTTGATCAAATGCTATTCTCCGGAAACTTTTCCGGTTGCGAATAAGAAAGAAAAATTAAAAAAAGATGTTAAAAAGTAATTTTTTTATGATAAAAGTGCAACCTAGTAGTAGGATAGTAAGGTTTTTAGGTGGGTTTTTGCGTAGTAATATTACCGTAGAAAACTTGCAAAAACCCACAAACAAACACGGCTTTGGGTTCGTTTAATTTTGGCCCCAAAATAAAATTAGGACTATTCAATTAATAAAATTTTTAATAAAAATATTTTTTTTTTTCATAAAATATTATATTAATTAATTACTTAAATCAAAATTCAAATTAAGAATTCACCGTTTGTTTATTTGATTTTGATTTGAAATTGAGGTTTTCAGTTAAATTTTTTATTTAAATATTTTGATATAATATTTTGAAAAAGTTGGACTAAAATTCTTATTAGAAAAATTCACCTGCAATTCAATCCCCATTGTAAATCAATTGGACTGCAGTCCCTACTTTATGGATTAAGTATATTATAACTCTGTTTTTTGTATATCTCAATCACCGTTGTATACATAACAGGTACTTACCATTGTTTAATAAATATGTATAATTTTCTAATATATACCTACTTTACCTTCCATTCTACCCCATTACAATCTTACATACTTCTATTTAAACTCTTTGTACCCTTTTTAGTGAATTTTTTTTTAAAAAAAGAAAAAAAATTACTCAAGATTTTGAGGTTGAGGCAAGAAACCTCTAATAACTCCCTTCAACTCATTTTAAACTTTACAGCTTCCATATTTAGGCAAACCGACGCTCTTGAACCTTCCGACGATCAAGCAGTGACAGATCTGTCCATCAAAATAGTGAGTAGAACAGCTAACCCGCCGTGATCCCCTAAGACTAGTTTGAAAAAGTAAGTGCTTGTTCAGACCTTTTTCGATTTTGATTTTGTTGACATTAGAATTTTATATCGTAGTTTATTCGATTGTTTGGGGTGGAAGCCTTGGTCCCGTGTTTGTATGCCTTGGTTCGGTGTTGAAGAGCCCTGGATGGTCTGTGTTGTGTTTGTTCACCGAGTTTGAAATCATTTGAACTTTTTCCTATGTAAATCGGGTTTGCTGTTTTATTTTAGCATCGATTTTGGGTGATTTTATTTGCTTTATGTGTGATTTTTGTTAATTTTGGATATGTATATTTTATTTAGTTACTCGGAGTTGCATATTTTAGTTTTTTTGTTTGATTGTTCGGTAATTAGTCATATTTGTGGGTTTGCAAATATGATATTATTAGGTACCCCGAGTTTCATTTGTTTGGTCTAATTTGCTAAGTAATATACTTGTAAGAGACGATTTTATACTCGGAAAGTCTTATTACGTACTCCTGATAAATTCGGATAAACTTTTAACTAAATTGGAGATTTGGGTAATGTAGACTTATGATATTGATTTATAGACCTAGAAAGGAATACAAATCGGTAATCAACCGCTTTGCATTACGATTTTTCCAAAACGAGGTGGAGAAACTTAAGAAACAGAAGTTGGACGAACACATCAAAGCCATCAAAATGACTCTGTTCGGCCATTTTTTGGACTGCCTAAAGATGAAGCTTGTGGCTCCGCCTTCTTGCCCTCATTAATAACTTCAATTCGGAGTCTATGTCGTTCAAGATTGGCGCTACCATTGAGCTACCATTTGAAGCTGAGGAATATTATATAGTCTTAGGACTACATGCGAATGGAGTTTACATGACGGACAATACATCAATTGAAAGTAAATGCTTTGTTCAAATATTTGGGGGCAAGCCGCATTCCGTGACCCGTGAGAGGTGTTGCTGAAGTTGCAGGAGGCTCTAGCGTAGGGGCTGGAGCATTTATCCGTTGCTGATGTTGCCCGTCTCTTTAATTTTTTGGTTTTTACAAATATTTTATTTTGTACTGCGAATTATTTCAATACCATTCTTTTTGTTACTGTATGTGGATGACCTGACTGCGATTGGTGACTATGCATGGGGACCTGAAAGTCACTGGTATCTCTTGAAGTCTATAAGCGATTTTAAGTCCAGAAAAAGCCATCTGACAGGTTGCATAGTTGGTTTATTGGTAAGGAATGTAATGTCAAATTTGTTAATTTATTCTACTTATTTCTGGATATTGCATAATAGGTCTATTGCTATTATTTTTTGAAGTAATTGGACTACTATTATTTGCAGGCCTAGTTTAACGAACGTGTCCTAGTCCTGGAGAAGACAAGGTGCCTACCGAAGGTACCACAGTTCTTTCAGTGGCTAAACAACGTAGGTCCGATCTCCAGGGTTGTTGCAATGACTGAATTATCATATTTGAAGAGGATGGATATTCAAGACTTTTATCGAATAGAAACGGAAGAGAAGTTTGTCCGTGCAATCTACCATGCTTCAGAGGTAAATGCATTATCCAATGTTGTGACCATTGTAACTAAATAAAATAAATTTCCTCTATGATGTGTTTAATGAATGATGTACGAAGTATTTAAAGAAATAACGGTGTTGAAGGTAGAGTTATGAAGAAAGGATGTTGCAATCGCCAAACTTACTCGTAAGCTGTAAAGAACTAGATTTGGGGATTCCGAGAAGGACAGTAAAGACAAGGGTGCAGATAAGGGTGATGGTGATGATGATGAGTCTAACGCAGAGGATGAGGAGACAGTAGAGCGGAAGGATGATGAGGAAGAGAAAAACCCCTGTTCCGAGGAGGACAAAAATAATGAGGCGATAGGGGACAACATACATTCTGATGAGTCATGGAAGAAGACAGATGAGAAACAACTAGAGGAGGATTAGACGGATGAGAAGAAATAGGCAACGAAGTACTAAGAGGAGGAGAAGTAGTCGGAAGAGGACCTCGACGAGGTGGTGAAAGAGCAAGTCGACACCGAGCGGCGAAGTAAAAGAAAAATGGACACCTTTTTGGGCCAAAATGATTCGGTAAAGGAGTCGGACAATGAAGGAATCAGTAGCTTACAGGATTTTAACCAACTAATGGTCATTGTATCATACATTGCGCCTCATGAGGTAAAGGTATATTAATCAATATAATCAAGTACATTATTGAATGATTATTTGCTCTGTTGGAATCGTAGCCGGCCAAGGAGTCCGCTAGTTATAATTCTGATAGGGTAGTTGATTCCTCGATCGTACTTGCTGTAATGGCACGTATGGATCGGAAGAGGAAAAAAGAACTTGAATTTGTGACACCCCCTGTATCAATACCATCGCGGAGGAGAAAAACCAGAAAAACTCGGAAGACTAAAGGCAAGTCAGCAGCCACCGACGTAAAGAAGTAGGTACATAGTGTGATTTAAATACTTTGGTTGGTATCTTACATACCTAGGTTTATTGAGGTAATACTTCTACAGTGAATACAGAACCTACAATAACATTATTATTTCTATTTTTTGGTTTAGGAATCGTTTGTTATTGGGGAGGACGGGGAGTCCAAAAGTACTTCTGGAGCAGATGTCAAAGCTAAAAAGTGGGAGACGTCAAGAAAAAATGGATTGTGGAAAGGGCACACTGTCCGACGACGAGAAGATTATCGTTGAGCATTTTCTCGCGTTCTTCGTCATTCGGTATATACCATTCACAATAAGGGTGTGTTATATCTTTCTCGATTGGTTGGTTTTTATGTTTACATTTATCATTTTGTAGGGAAAATGTATGAGAGAATTGTGTCGTGTTATAGACCTGCTTTTTGACCAAGCTATCAAGGGTGAGGTAATTGATGCCAACCTACAGTATTTGTGCAGCACCGAATTCCGGTTTCAGCACAACACAACAGTGCATTGTGGTTGTTTGCCGTGGTTTGTATCGGTGATTTTCTTGATTGGATTTTTTACGGTTAATATTTACAACTGCATTCCTATTGTGACAACATCTAATCAACTATGTTAATTCCAAGTTATTACTTAGTAATACAATTCAAACACCGTAAAAACAACATGAGACTTGGTTTATATTCAAATCACAACCATACATGTTGAAATCATTTATGTATATACCCTATGTAATCCATTGAGTACCTAGAACATAATGGTAATATACGTCAGTTACGATTATATATGCCCTGGTAATATGTGGTTGAGAATCGGTCGCTTCCCTTGAATTATTCATTTCAACATGGTGTGCATGAATGAGTTCAACCGTGGCACCACTTCCCAGACACCCCGAAGTGAATGGGAAGGTAAACAACATGTATTTACTATTGATGGTTAAAAAAGTCTTCAATAACTAGTTTTTAGTTGTATGATATATGTACGTGGTTAGTATGGCGGGTTTAAAACAAGGCAAACTGTTTTGTACATGCCTCAATCCATCACTAGGATACTTGCATAATGCATATATGTGCCTCTAGTATTAATGTATCTAACATTATAATAGCAAAATAATTTTTTGACTTGTGGAATTCTGATACATAGTTGTGATGTGTAAACAGTGGTTGTACTTAGCGTTGTGATGTGTAAGAGACGGGCATAAAGTGACTAGTATAATTCCAAGAGATTGATTAATACTGTGGAAATGAAAAAATATTATATTAATCATTCGTTTCTACAGACCTGCATCATCAAGTGCCTCAGTACATTAAAATATACTTGTAAAATATACTTACAAACCTCCACGACTTCCCTACATACCCACGCAAGAGAGCTACAAACCACTTACATTGTACCCATTGATTACATACCTATTGTATTAATATGTACTTTTGGACACCCAAAAAATATACAGAGAAAGAAAAGTTCACTGATCTACTCAATACTTATAACTTCTTCTATTATGCCTGAGACGGCCACAACGACCACATTTTCGTGATTGCTTTACCTGTTGGGACTCGAACCTTCGCTTCTTTGGCCGGCTAGATTGAACGGATGGTGGAAGAAGGTGAATTGGGTCCGCCTAAACTTCAACAATCATGTCCATATCGTGCGTCGGTACTGGATTTATTGGTTCCTAATACATTTTTCTGTAGCATTCAATCTGAAAGTAAAGATCACATAAATCATAAATTGACATATTACTTTTTCAATGCAAGCACAGGTATGCTTGTGGGCAGTCTGAATATTTTTCATTCCCTACATGAGCATTGTTGCACCTTCAAATCGAATGCATATCTTTCATTAGAATATGTCACCTCGAATAATGTTCTAGAGGATGAGTTGCACTACAGCCGTCGTGGGGCCATGTATGACAGTGCCAACTTGCTCTTTTGTTTCGAACAAAGTCTCACATGCATTACCTTCGACTTTTCGTGTCGTTCATTCATCATTACCATCACTTGCCTTCTAATGGAATCCATCATCCCAACAAATGGCATTGACCTCATGGATCTCACCCAAATATTCCATGACTCAGCAATGGTATTATTTATTTTTCCTCAACGAGTGTTTTTGAATAGTAAATTTTCCCAATATTCTAGATGTGATTGAGTAATGAAGTCCCGGGCCAACTGCATCGATTCGATCACAAAAGTAATATGATTCTCGAAATCTCTCCTCAGCGGAGCATAGACGGATTTTTTTTAAGACAGTCGTCCATCGTTTCTTATTATGCATTGGGTATCTCCGCATAACCTAAAAAAAAAAAAAAGCCATTTCCTAGCCAATCGTACGTATTGATGTTCATTATAAATAAATATTGGTGTATACATACCTGGGTACAAAATTTGTCCACTAGGTGTTGAAAATAGTACGCATGGTGTGCTCCTGAAAAGACACACGGGATTGACTTTAGTAAACTCGAGTGCCTATCCAAGAAGAATGGATATTCTTTTCAATCCGTGCGACCCTCACATTCTAAAATAGATCGCAGTTTCTAGCAAAACCACTTTCAATTTTCATCATTTTTCGTTGACACCGCTGCAAGTCACCAAACAAGAACATGAATAACTACAAACAATTCCAGCATATTAGGGTTCATCAGTGCCCAAAAAGAGCACACCGGAATGCTCTGAGGCTATTTGAAACAACATTGCAGGTATCTATTTAACAAGATATAGATCACATGCAAAATAGCACTCACAAATAGTTAAAATGGAATACTACACCCAATGTTTTCTAAGGGTAAATGTTAACCTAATATACGGAATGTAGCTCAGAAGAACAACTACACCCAACACTATCAAATTACATACCAGAAAATGCTAAAGTAAACATCCCGTCATCCCCATCCACTGCTATAGCACTCAACAAACATCCTTTGTGTTTGTTTTTTTATATATATCCTATCAAGAAAGAGTAGGGGCCTGCAACCCTTTAAAAAAACCAGCCGGAAAGAACCTAAGCAAATAAAAAGACACTAGAAACGCTTGGTTGCTTGCTTCACTTTTTAATCTATAATACTTACCGGATTTGACTCATGAAGTGCACGATAGTACCATGGAAGATGCGAGAAGCTATCCTAACCTCCACCATTAATTGTCCTTATCGCATTCTCCTTGCCTCGCGATGTTTTGTGATATTTAACGTCAATCTCATTATTGGTTTGGATATGCTCCCGGATGTCTGATGCCTTATCGGGAGCATAGAGCGTATCTTATCTTTGTAAACTTCATAAATTAAGTTCACATCGGCTCTTGGATGATCTCTTGATTGCAATTAACTCAGACTGCATGTGTGTTGCAAATTGCACTTACGGACCTCGAAGGAAGCATCACGAGCATGGAATGATGCATAAATACGCCAACCACAATCTTTGTCAATGAACACCGCAATAATTTTGATTGAAATATTTCTGAGTGGCAATAGAATAATTCTTCAATAACTTTCTAAACTCTTGAGGTCCTTTAAATGTCTGACCTTCCCCGACAATGCATTTTTGCATTCAAATTAGAACTAGTACTTTCGTCGGGAATAAAGATGCCACATGTTCCATCTTCATTCAATCCCGAGCATTCAAGCTCGAATCTGAATTACAAATACAGAAATATGAATGATAATTCTGTCAGGTATAAATAATTTCACTTCTATATGGTAATAAAACTTTCTTCGTAAAAAAAAAAAGGCATGGGTACCCATCTTACTCAACCGATTATGTACACAGTGTACACGGTTATCTATCATGTCATCCAGGGTACTTAAAAGAGCAATTACATCTATTCACCACAACAAACTAGATGATGCAGTAAATGCCACGGGCTACAAAATTTTAGTGCATCGATCATGGTACAACTAGCTAAACCGGATTGCTAAAAGATAGTGAAGTTGGTGTGTAAAGAATGAGTAAACATCTTTAAACACCTTCAAGACATTACATCCCCGCTACACATCTTTACAATCTCTTTGACGGTTTGTACTGCACTGTGATACTAAAAAATCGTGGAGGTGAATACTTACTACCTACAAACAACATCGAAATAAAACACCAGGGTGTTGTTGTATGCCAATATCATGAAAGAATTATTGCTAGTGTAACCGATAAACAAAAGGTAAGTAGCTTCTTACCAACCTTACATATTGAAATTCAAGGATAACTAAAAGTTTGTATATAAATAACGTACTTTTAAATGTGTTGAACATGAATATATAAATGCTTACAAGTCGCATTTGTGCATATGGCACAACTGTGTCTGCATTTTACAAATAAATCGATTAAATATATGTACAAAGACTAGTTAACTATAAAAGATGAGTAACGTACATGCGTCCAACCATGCTTCGGGGAGGCACGCTCTGTTGCTCGCTGCTACACCATGCATTCATTCCACAAACATTACCTTTAACAAGATATGCATTCTCCACATATTGGCGACATCATCATCACACAATAACGTCACATAGATTTTCTGA